ATGATGAACGGTCTTTCTTCACAAAAATGGCTTCTTTTACTCCTCTCTCAAACCAACGTTCCTCTCTATCAAGAATGAGAACATCCTCATCTCTGAAAAATTGACTTTCTTCACAATTAATGATAATTATACTTGATATTGATATCTGCTGAAATTTACATATCGGTGCATCCCTAGAACAAACAATTACAACTGATAGCTTAATGAAAATGTCTGTAACTCAGTGTATTTTAGAAAAAAAGAGTTCAAACTGGGTGCAGTAGTTGCTGAGTGAACATTGTCTGAGAGCGAACACATCATGTGAGATTACATGATTTTTGTCCAATCACTAGGCATTCATGCTTGTCTTTTGTTCCCACAGCTTTGAGCTACCAAATCAGCCGGTGTTGGGTTTCTTTCAGGATCCGTATCTTCCTGAATGCTCATCAGGTATGAAAGAGAAGCCTCTCAATGTTTTGTCAATTACATTTTAGTAAAAGTAGATACTGGCAGTCATTTTCCAGACCCCCAGGGAGCAGTGGAACTTAATGATTGTAAACACCCTAATTACTGCCAATACACCAAAAGTATTCTATCAAAATGCAAAAAATATTTATAAAAAGTTAGTTCAAAATAATTCTATTAGTTGTGAAATATAAACTGGGGCATAGCCATGTGCTATTCAACTTGCACTGAGAACAGTAATAAACAAATAAACAAAAAGTACAAGAGACAAAAGAAAAAGGCTGATTTTATTAGATTAAAGAAGCAAATTTACCCTAGACCTGTAAAACTGGGGAAAATAATTTAATAATTTTTCCATTGTCAAATTTTGTCCCAAAGGCATTTTAAAAATTAGAAATGGGTTAAATGAAACTGATTTGGCTGTTGGGAAGGGGGAGCTGGCGAATGAGCCACCTAGAGTCTACAGTCTTTTTTGATTAAGAAAAATGTCTTGGAGGAAATGTTTCAGATGCCAAGGAGACTACCCTCTTTTTAATCCTTCCAAGGAAAACACGGTTCTTAACAAATGATTGGACTTCAATTTTGGAAGTAACCCTCCAACGAAAAAAAAAATAAATTTGTGTGAGCCACTCTACAGATGATAGGATTCTGAACTGTGGACAAGATTATCACTAAAGACAATGCAATTCCATCATTCAGAAGTACACAAACACAGTTGTCATCTGCCCAGGTTAGCTGAAACACAACTTGCGTTGTTTTGTTCAGTTGTTTGGTCAATGTGTGATCTACAGTTATAATTTATAACTTGTATTATGATCTGTGTTCTTTAGTTGGCTTAAACCACATATTATTAATAAATAAATTATCTTAACATTGATCTGTGTGAGGATAAGTGGGATCTTACCAGTTGAAACTTCGTCTCTGTAATCACTCTGGTTCTTCAGAAAACCTACTTTCCTGTTCAACAGTAAAGTTCAGTTTTATCTTCAGCTGCAATTTTCCAAACCAATATTGTGTAATGTTGCTCTTTTTTATTATTACAACAAAGTATGCTACAACACTCCAGGTTGTAAACGTCATGAAGCTGTTGTGATGATGTCCAGAAATGGGAGTGATGGAAGCTGTAGGAGGCTCTTGAAATTGACCTCCATCTCTTTAAAGCATTCAGAATGGATATGATGTGAAGTCAAGTCTATTTTTTATTTATACATATACAAGTTGTAGGTTAGGGTGACAAACAAAGGAAGTTTTCTGGTTCCTCTGTTTGTGATGCTGATGAATCCAGATGTTCTTATGGTTCTGCAGCTTGAAGTAACTTCTCTCTCTGTGGTTCTGATTCTGCAACAGTTTTCTTATCAGCCACTTGCCTGTTGTTTTCCATCGGTGTCTCAGTTTGCACCTGTTGTCCTTCAGCCTGAGACGTCAGCTGATCKCTCTCCTGTTGTTTGGTTCCAGCCAGAACTTGGTTCAGATAATACTTCATGTTTGAAACTAACAGCTCAGCTCCAGATCAATTCAGAGTCAGTCCATCAGACTTGAAGAGATGTCGTCTCTGCCAAAACAGGTCGAAGTTGTTGACAAATCCCACTTTTAGAAAGTTATGAAAGGCAAACAGTCTACTAAAACACTCTTTACCTCCTCTGGCTGTAGGAACAGGCCCACTGAGGAACACATCCATGTTGAGATTTTTAACTGCATTAAGCAGCAGAATAAAATCCTTCTTCAGGATTTATGACTGTCGGTTCATAACTTCATCACTTCCTGCATGAATGATGAGTGTATTCACAGTTGGATACTCAGCTGTTATTTGCAGAATCTTCTCTGTGAGGTCAGATACTTTATCAGCAAAACTCAGAACTTTGACCTTTTTCTTGTTCCAGAAGCCTCTGATCTCATTCACCATTTTATCTGTTATGATCAGCATTTCTTGATTCTTGAAAGTCTCTCTTTGGACTTGCTTTGGCTTTGAGCTGGATCTGGATCTGGTCTCAGGTGTCCCTCTCTGAGGTCAGATAGTGAAC